AAAACCCTACCAGATCAGGTTCTTACTCAGCATTGCTGACTTCTGGTTATTTTTATGACTTAGGAAGATGTTTAGCTTTCAGAATATTCTTCTTCTTCTTTCTTGCTGCTATTAAGTTGCCTTTACAGTTAGGGACTAGAACAATTTTTGGATTATCATTTCCTTCCACTTTGCTCACTTATTTCCCGAGTCTCTAATGAGTGATAAAAATGAAGCGGTCACTGTGTCTGCTCAGACAGGGAGCTCTGCATCAGCTCTTGCTGGAGACACTGGTGGGTAGAGAGGTGGAAAGCTGAGTGGCAGGCATTCCACCTTTACAGAGCTTTTGCTTCCATCCAAGACGCTAGGAAAACCGGCACAAACCTAACACACGAAAGCACAACCAGGGAGGAGCAGAGAGAATTTATCCAGCACAGGAACGGGCTGTCCTGTTCACCTCGGTGAAAAGAATGAAGAAAAAAGGCTGTGGAGCTTTTGGTGGTAAGATGCTGGATAGAAGAACATCTCTAACATTTATGGTGCTGATTCTTGGAAGGCAGAGATCCTGCAAGTAAGCATGGCAGCTCAAAGACCCCTGCTACTTTTACCTCATCTGATGCTGGTTTGAAGAAAGAGCTGCTTCAGAAACTCAGATTCTAGGTTTTTTCCACTCGCTCTTRTCGGTCCTGCCAGATCTCCCAGTCCCAACCAAGCTTAGTCTATGTTGGCAGAGGATAATGTCACTTCCAGGATATGCTAAGGTCCTGATAGTATCCAAATAAAAGCTGTTACAGGGAAGACTGGACTACAGCTCTTGCTGTCTGTGTGCCATCTGCATCTCTCAGGACTAAGGCCTCTTCCCATTCCCAGTGGAACAATTRACGTCGTGTTGAGAACTTGATTTCTGCTTCTCAGACCTTTCAGCTCCCATGAAGAATCTCAGGGACCAGCATATCCTTCCTTTGCATTACCTTGTGTCACCTGTTAGGCTTCTGTTGCTGCTAAGCAGGAGAGTCCAAACCATATTTGACCAACTGCTACCTGAGTAGGAGGTGAATGTGGGTTTCTGTGGTCATTGCTACTGAGAGGAGACAAAAGCTGTAGGGAACCTGTTGTGCTTCCTGGTTTGCTTGAGAAACTCCATCTGCTGGGACTGGAGCTGGCTTGAAGCCGTGGATCTCAGTGCAATCCCCTTCAAGCATTTCTCCAGTATTAAGGGGTCCAGCAGAAGGGATTCCTCGGGCTGCCAGGAGTCCTGACAGAGCGCTAGGGACAGAAGGTTTGTGGAAGCTGTGGAAGTTTGTCTCAGGGGGAAGGCAGCAGGGAGATGGAGGGGACGCAGCCTGCTGTAGCTTTAAAGGCAGTACTGTGTAGGGATCCGTTSGGAAGGACGTCGTTGGCTAAAGGGATCCAAAGCTTGTTTTCCTCGAGTCTTTTTATTCTTCCTTATCTAATCCCTTTAGAGCCTAAGGTCAACCCCTTTTTGTACTGCAATAACACTGTAATATATGCTTGCACTAATTCTTCTGGTATTCCAAGCATGCAAGACCAATTTAAAGCTTTTTTTTCAGAAGAAAAAGACTGTATTATTGTGTATATAGAAATACTGAGAGAGAATTTGAATTCTGTCTCCTGTATAAAAGCATGCATTGATTACCTGTATGTAGATCATGCTGTAAATGCTGCAGAGTACTGTAAAATCCTACACTTGAAACCACAATGAACAGGCAATGTCATCAAAAACAAACGAAACAGAAGCTGTGCAATGGATTTTGTGCCTTTTTTAAATCCATGTATGTTAATCCAGACAATCGGGGAAAAAAAAAGAAAAAAAAAAAGGAAAAAAACAAACGAACAAAAAAAAGCTTGTATACTACCAAAACCTTATTAAAGAATCAAAGGCAGCATCTTGTTGATGGCTGGGGTTTTTATTTGCTTCCTCTCTTTGTTTTTCTGCTTCCTTTGCTCCGGGAGGTGTCCCCTGCTCATCCTTGGGTACACRGGAGCACCAGGCAGGGGGTAAAGGAGATCTAGCAGAACAGTGAGGGTTCCATTATTGCTTACRATCGTGATCACTAAAAACTTGCAATTAAGACAGATCTGGGAACAGAAACAAAGTTAAGTGTCTGTTAGAGAGGTGTTTCATGAACTTCGGGAAGGCCACCCTGTGATTTCAATTTTAGGCATGTGAAGGCTCTGGCTCCTGTGGAAAGGGTGATGGAAACTTTCCCTCATGCACAAGACTCCAGCTCCTCAAAGACAGAGAGCAATTCGTGCAGGGAAGTGATGGTCAGGGAGGACAAGCCTGGTCCAGTTGTCACAAACACCTTGTTGACACAGACAAGCTATGGAGGAGCCCCCTTCTCCCAAAAACATGGCCAAGAGAACAAAGAAAAGAAAAAAAAAAAACAAAACAGCGCAGCAACTGAGCTTTTGTGATTACAGAACTCCCCCTGAAAAACATCCAAGGGGATGTCAATAAATCATATTAAGGGTTTCCCTATTAATCACAAATATTAATGGTGGCATAGTGGTGTTGCAATTCCATGTTGTTGTGTTGTTCTTGGGCCATTTCAAAATGTATTTTTCCTCCTCAGTTCCCCAAGTCAGATTTGTGTTGTTTTTTTCATGTGATCTCCCAAGTTTTGGTCAAATGCATGTTTAGTATTTCCCAAGTTACTGGTGAGTTGGGAGACTGAGGAAAATGCAAACACACAGTGCTTTGACTAATACTGTGTGAATATTCAAAGAATTGGATTAACTGCAGCATAAGGTTTGAAGTGAAACCTGAACTTCCATCTCATAGCAAAACTCCTCAGAGCGTTCAACAGGACCACTGGCTTGGGGATATCATGGACTGCAAAATATCCATGGAATTTCCTCCTCTTTGGACCAGTCTTGGACCATTGTGGCTGTGGAATGTGAGCCATTGCCACTCTGAATTTCCCTTGGGATGGGAGGTGTGCTGAACTGTTCTTCCATAATTCCACTGATGCCTTCCAGATAGACAGACCACTGTAGGTTCCTGAGCAGTTCCTGCATCTAGGAGGTGGGAAGGTCCCCTCATAATCACACTCTGTCCTCTCTTTATCTSTTTATCTCTTCCACCTGTTTCACATCAACTCTCTCCAAGATTGGAGGGCTTCATTTTGGTAACATTGAAAGAGTGGGAGCAAAACTCCAGTGGTGTTTCCACCTCTCCTGGCCCCTTTTACCACAGTTTAAAATGAAACCCTGATCAGTGAATCCTCATTCTATGTGGGTAAGGTCAGTTGGGTGTATGGGACTGAGCTGTTGGAACAATCTCAGTTCCCTTATTAAAAATTCTAATAAATCCCATGGTTTTCCTTTCATCAGTAGTCCATAGAGGTCAAGCAAAAATGAAAAAACCCATGGTCAAGGRGGGGAATTATGAAAAGCATGTCCTTCACATCCAGGGYAGCCATCCAYRTATGARCAGGCCCTGTGYCAGTGTCCCCATCTCCACAGTGTCKGGAACTGCAGCAGTTAAAGGTGCAGTATTAGCAAAAGACTGTTGACAATCCACGATGAAATACCTGATGCAAAAGGTAGAGTGGRTCAGTRAAAGCCCAAATCAGGTTAATACATCCTCAGAGCCAGGCTTCACCTTTAAGGAAAGAAAAGAAACAGCTTTGGACTCCAGAGGTATTGCCAAAAMCAGCCTGTTTTCAATTCATAAGATATAAAAAGAAATATTAACTGGATAACAACTTAGCAACCAATGCTTGATGCTGCCCACCAATCTATTTGAAATGTCTCTTATACAGGAGCATAAAAATCTTACATTTTTYAGGCTCAGCACATGCAGATTTTCAGCACAATTTTAAATTTTGGGACTGAAAAGCCACTGAGGGTTTTCTCTCCCCAGTAGAGACAAAAAGATCCATTCCATGGTCAGGTGAATGTGGCAGCTCTGGAGCTCACATGGTTAAAGGGGTGCATGTTTAGTTGTGCAGCCTAAATATCCTCTGGTGCTGTTGAACACTGCTGGAAAACGCAGATGTTTGGAGCCCTGCTGTTCATGATTAGGACTTTTCAAGGGTAACATGTGATGCAGTATTGACCAGTTGTGTTTATGGAGAGGTTACAGTGTGCGAGCCCTAATAGAAGTGCATTGTAAATGATTCAGTTCTAAATCCATTCTGCGGGGTGGCGCCGATATGATTTTCATTTGCCAGCAGTTGTTAATCAGGCCACGCTTGATTGGCATTTCCTATTTATTTTGGTCAAGTGTGTGCAAGTGTGTGTGAGCTGCTGTTTTTCAGCTCAGAGAAAAAGGATCATTTTACAATCCTTCCACAGGCTGCTGCTGGAGAAACAGTGGCCCCACCACCTGTCCTGCCTGCCCTTCACTGCTCACGGCCCAGGGTCTGACAGTGACACTTTATGTCCCATCTGTCACAGCTTGCTGATGGYTTTAAAGGAGGCAGAAGCCTGTAGGGGACACTGTGAGGAGCTGCTGGAGGGATATTGGTGGTGCACAATAACTACAAAGTGTTATTGCCCCAGGGATAATGGTGGATGGTAATGGAAAGTGATCAGGAAATTTATCTAGCCCAGAGGTGCCCCTTGAGTTCACTATGGCCTGGGCTTAAAGTTGCTAAGTGGTTCCAGTGGCAAGGAAGCAGTAAATATATAAATACTGAATTGAATATATAAACAATATATAAACACTGAAGAAGATTGGGAAATGTAAAGGAATCCTGAGGAATTGCTCAAAAATGGGGGGTTTAGGTCCAGTTTAAAAACTGCTAACAAAGGAAACTTCTTTGACACATTTATTTTCCCTTCATTGCTGAGTATCTGTGAGTCTCTCCTTTCTGAGGTTTGTACAAATCAAATGATGGTGTGATCACTGCTCAGGTGTGCATTTTGGAAGCGTGATGGACTGAATACTTGCTGTGGATTCTTCCCGCTGCTGTTGGTCCCAATGTCTTCTGTCAGTGCCGTGTCTGAACTCTCACTCACCCTCTCCTTTTGTCACGTTTGTCTCCTTGCAGGCATACATGCTGAAGTCATTTGAAATGAATGGCCTGCCCAAGGCGGTCCCTTTAAGTTTGCCTTACCAAGACTTCAGAAAAGATCTGTGCAACTACTGGGAAAAGCCTAGGTTATCCCAGCGGATAAAGAAAGTCGATTTCTCAAACATTGTCTTGACTGCTCCTTGCAAACCTCTGGAACCTTATCTGGAAATGAACGGAAAAGAGGAAGAGGAGGAGGAGGAGGAGGAGGAGGAAGACGAGGAAGACTACGAGGAGGAGGAAGATGAGCAGGATGACGGGGAGGAGGAGGACGAGGGCAATGAGATTGACATGCACAGCGATTCCAGCAGCGACCTGAGCCAGAAGAGCACGGAGCGCAGCCAGGAGTGCGCACCATCCACGCTCCTGGCCGATGACCAGAAGGGGTCCAAGGGTCGAGCATCCACCGCTGACGGGGACCTGGAGCTGGAGGAAGGCTCCAAAACACTGGTGCTGTTCTCGCCAGGCGATCTGAAGAAATCTCCAGTGGCTGCAGATTTACCTCCAGAAGTCGATCTGGGCACTCTGGCCGCGCTGACCCCTCAGAGCGAGCGGCCACAGCCCATGGGGAGCCAGCTGGATGTGTCTGAGCCRGGGACCCTGTCCTCAGTCCTTAAATCTGAACCAAAGCCTCCCGTGGCGGTGGCGACAGCTTCCTCCCCTTTCACCAAAGTGGAGCGCACCTTCGTCCACATTGCCGAGAAGACCCACCTGAACGTGATGTCCTCTGGCGGGCAGCTGCTGCGGCACGAAGAGCACGGCCCACCGGGGCATTTCGAGGAGGTCATCGTCGAGGAGGAGCTGGAGGACAACCTGGTGCCGGTAGAGAACGGAAGCATCCACTCCGGGCTGGAAGGGGCAGAGACGGAGAGCTGCGCGCTGTCGGCCAACCACGCCGAGACCACCTCGGACACGGCGGGCGAGCAGCCGGCGCTTGCCAACGGCGTGCCAAAGCTGCCCCAGGACGAGCCCGAGCTGCCCGGCAAAGCGGCGCTCTCGCTGGATTTGGAAAAGCCCGGCAAGGTGGCTGTGAGGGAGCCCGGCCAGGAGAAGGCGGCGGCGGAGCAGCTGAAGCGAGCGGAGACCCTCCCGGAGACGCCGCCGCACGGCCCCAGGAGRCCAACGGGCTCCCGGTACAGAAGTCGGATCCCCGTCTTGTTCTCRGAGGAGGACACCGGCTCGGACCTTTCCACTTCGCTCTCGGCCAAAGAAAGGCTTTATAAGAGGGCGAAGCAGCCCGACCTGGCTCGCCTGGTGATGGAGAAGAGGCAGAGCCGTCTCCTCCGGCTGGCGTCTGGTGCCTCCTCGTCCGCCTCCTCCAGCGACGAGCGGCGCCGAGCCTCCGAAACCCTGTCGGCCACGGGCTCCGAGGAGGACACGCACGACTCTGACGACTCCATCCCACGCAAGGGAGACAAGAAGGCAGCGCTGCTGGGGAGAGAAGAGAGAGCCGGGAGCACAAAGAGCAGGATTCCTCGTCCCATCGTGCCGGTGAAAGCCGCGCTGGAGGCGGCGAGGGCGGAGAGCTCCGTGGCCGCGGCGGGGCTGGGYGGCTCCCCGCAGGATACAGCTGCTGCCAGCAGGTAAGACCAGAACGGGGAGAAATGCAGAAAGCTGGATCTGGGCTCACTTCYCATGATTTCATCCACTGCTCAGCTTGGATGCATAGTCCATCCTTGTTTCCTACAGTTATTTCAGCTCACAGGTGTGTGAAACTGCCATCACAGTTACCATCAGAGGCCAGGTCGTGCACAGCAACTCCTGCCCACATTTCCAGATTGAACCTCCTGCCTTGGGAGAGGTTGCTGCATCCATTCTGCATGTTAAGAATGATGCCAAAATCCCACTTACCTAAAACAGAAGTTAGATAAAATCGAGAGAATAAAAGCAGTTCTGTTTATTGCAGGGCCTTCAGGTGCCCTTCAGGTGCGTTCAGGGCAGTCCCAGCCCACCCAGGGGTGCACCCACAATGGACAATGGCTCACGGGTTTTTCACCCTTTCTCACTTTTGTCCATTTGCACATTGGGGCTGAATCCTCCAATTCCAGCTTCAGCCAATGCAGTCATTTACTCCAAATTTGCTCCCCCAATTCTCTGTTGATTCCATCTCTTGGGGCCTGGAACAGTGAGGTGTCCTTGAGTTTGGGGCCTGGAGAGGAATTGTTTTCTCTAAAATGGGAGAGCAGGAGCTGAGAACTGTATATGGAGTCTAGAGTTATACATTCAAGAATTCCAGGATTGCAGACACCTGAAAAAAACATAGAAGCTAAAATCCTAAGGCACCAAGAAGAGTCCCAAATACCATGCCTGACTATTGGCTCTGAGGTGCTGGAGGATCAGAGCAAACATTTACCACTTTAACTGCATTCAGAGTCACAGCATGGTGTTCAAACCCCTCTGGGTCACAGCGCAGGTTCTGCCATCCTGGTGCTGGAGACTCGTTGTGATTGTCCTGCCAAGAGCCCAGAGCCCCTTGCAAAACTTAATCCTCCCTGTTTTCTTCCCCTGCAGGCTCCAGACCCAGAGAGCAGCTGGAAGTGTCCCCTGCGAGGGCCGAACAGCCCAGGCGCAAAGCCGGCTCCCTTCGTCGCCGAGTTCCTCTTCTCTTCCTGCGCGGAGCAGCTCGCAGAGATCCAGCGGTGCCTCCCCTCGGAGCCCCGTCCTCCCCTCCAGGAACCCCAGTTCTTCCCCCAGAAGCCAGCTGCTGCCTCGGAGGGAAAGTCCTTCTCCTTGCCGACAGCACAAAGCAGGGACTGCTCCTCAGCGAGTTCCTCCCTCCCCCCGACCTCAGCCCTCAGCTCAGGCCCCTGCGCCTACGGGAGATCCTCTGCCGTCWCCCGGCGCGGCCAAAAAACGGCAACGAGGAAAAACCCAGACTCAAAGTCCAGCAACCAAAGGAAAGCAGGTGTCCCTGGAAAGCAAGGCCAGATAATGACCTTCTGCCAGCCCAGCAGCCTGGGTAACCTCTGCATATAGTCCACACTTGAGCTGCTGCAGCACAGCCTCCCACGCTGCGCCCGCAGGGTACGGCAGCAGCCGTGCTCCAATGCTTCACTCACTGTCACCCCACGCCGCAATCAGCTCCCAGAGGTGCAGAGCCACCCCAGGGAGACGCCCCAGCCCGCAGCTGCCACTTGCTAAAGCAGCCTGCCCTGCCTCCCCCTCTCTCTCTGTCAGCAATACCAGCCCTCCACAGCAGCTCCAGCCGTGCAAGGGGAGCACAGGTGACAGGAGCAAGGCCTGCAGAAGGGGGAGGTTCCTGTCCTGCAGGCAATTCCCTCCTTTCTGCTCGCTGAGTGAGCGCCAGCCTTGGCCACCACCATCTCCTCCCAGCACCACTGTTAGCAAGGGGCTGCCAGCAGCTTACCAGGAGGGATGGATGCACCCTTGAGTGCTGAGATGGGACAAGGGCAAAGAGGAGAGGGCTCTTCTCTCCTTCCCAGAGAGGCATCTGCAGGTGGGGATTAGGAGACAGGCAGGTCTTGCTGGATGCTCCTTCCTGCTCTGCTGTGTCCCACAGAGGAGGGTGCCTGGCATTGCTGCTCAGACACTGCTGCTGTGTGCTGGGTGCTTAGATGGRAGCAGGGATGTGTTGGCAGCTTGCTGGGAAACCAAGAGCTCTTGCTAATTAACGTGGAAGGGAACACGCTGCGGTCACTCTTGTCACAAATACCAAACTGTGACCTGTGGGCACCACATCTCCCAGCAAGAGTGGTTCCTCTCAGACCTGCAGCCCACCAAACACAGCTCTGTCATGAAGATGTCAACAGCCACTGGATGCCTTTAGCCTGGGTGCCCTCTGCACCTGAATTCCTTGTGTTTTCCTTCCACGCTCTTGGTGTTTGTGAATTTTGGAAGTTCCCCTATGTGGCAGGGCGGGAGATTATTATCCTGTGGSATACCCAAAAGCTGCTGCTTTGCCAGGAGAGGTTTTCTGGTGTACATTTCTATCTGAGGGTACAGCAGGTGGAGTGGCAGAGGTGGGTTTTGTGTCTTTTCCTTCATGCTCACCCCTGCCGTGCRTTGAGGACAAGCAACGTGAATGTAAAAGCAAGGGCCATGCTCTTCAAGTAATATTATCTGAGCTAAATCAAGTGACTGCTTAGCCCCCAGACTAATCAGGAAGGCTTGAAAATTATGGCAAGGAGGGCTGATAACTGAGCTTGATGAGGTCTTGAAGTAGACAAAATTTYCCCCACACCTCACAGGAGAAAACACTCCAGACCCAAACACTTTGTGCTTCACGCCATTGTTACCCCACCTTTCACAACCAAAAGAGGCTTTGCTTGAGGCAGAACAAGAACACAGCTGCTCTGGGTGCCCATTCCTGCAGTTGCAGCCAACAAAGCTTGACAGGAATCTGAACAGTAATAACCTTGATTTGTTGGAACAGGAATGCAAACAGTCACCCTGATGGCTGCCGAGTTTAGGAATCCTGAAGTGGCTCATATTTACAGGAGTCCTGGGAAGGAGTATGAGAGCTGTGACAGGGTGGCTGGGAGAAAAGGGTACTCCTTGCACATCTGAACAGGGAAATGTGTAGGAACAGGAGGCAGGAACTACCCTTTTATGTGACAATCTCAGTGTTGCCAGCACACTAAGAATTTATTTCACCTCGCTCCAAGTGTTTTCCATTGATGTGGTTCACCCTGGTCAAGCAAGCAGCACAGCTTAGGCTGAAAGCACCCCCTCATCTTCGCAGAGCAGCACTGGGAGCCCAGAGGGAGCTCAGGCTGGGGTTTGGTGGGCTGAGCTGGTGTTGCCATCAAAAGCAACATCCCTCCGAGTTCCACCTCATTGCACAGCTCCACCACATTTTCCCTGCAGCAGCTGTTTGATGAAATGGCTGGAAATGCTGTTCCAGCACCACATGAACCTCTCTGGTTCGCCAGTCTGGGTTCATTTCACCCCTCTGGTTCACCATTTTGTCACACAACACAAGAAGGAGAGGAGACTCTGACCACTTCTGGTGGCACTGTCACTTTCTGTGAGTTTGAAGTGTGGGTCAGAACCTAAATATGCACTGTATGTTTAGAAAGTAGAAAACAGAATAAACCCAAACACAGATTCTTTCCAGAAATGTAAATCCCAATGGATTTATATCCCTATTAATTTATTGGGGTCTGTTAATTTTAGAGTGCTCAGATGGTAAGACTTGGTTGTGAAGCCTTTACCAGGTGCTCCATCCAGGTCTCAGATGCAYATGCCAAAAATGACATTGAAAGAGCTTGGAAAGGGCACTACAGGACTATTAACAGGATTAGCAAACCTGCCTCATCATRGGAAGCCAATAAAGCACAATCAAGGAAAAGATTAAAGGAGAGTTTTCCGTGGCCCTGTGTCAGGAAGGAAGCTCCAGGGCAGAGAYAAGGCCAGGTTGGATGGGGCCCTGAGCACCCTGGGTTAGTGGAAGGTGTCCTGCCCATGGCAGGGGGCTGGAATTGGATGATCTTTAAGATCCTTCCGACCCAAACCATTCTGTGCTTCTGTGGTCCCCATATGGCATAAAAAAACCAGGGAAGAGGAGCAGCCCAGAGCAGCAGATGAAGAAATCAGGCAGGCTTTTAATTGTGAATCAACCATCCAGTRAAATCTTCCACAGGAATATGGAGACTTTTTCTTATTAAAAGGTTTCTGTGAAACCGAGCTGTCTTCTAAGAGGTCTTTCTACCATGACCCAGCCACAAGTAGCAGGCAGGACGCTGGTGACACCACGGGATCATCTCTCTCTGCGGTGCAGGACATTCCTGATCCTGCTGGGACCATGCTGGCAGATGCTGGAGAGCCTCCTGACCAATACCCCAGGTTCCAGAAAGCCAGGGGAAGGGCTACCAGACTGCCTGCAGAGCTGTCCTTTGGTAGGAGGGAGCAGGAGAGTGGATCAGCCTGGAGCAGGAGAGTGGATCAGCCTGGTGCTCCCCGTGCTCTGAGGTGGAGGATCTGTCCTGGCCAGCTGCAGGGGGCTGTGCCCAGCTGTGTTTTCAGGGAACACAAACCAGTGTTGTTTGGATGGCAGCACAGGTGCCTCTGCTCTCCTCGGTGCCAAAGGTGTTCCCGTAGGAAAAATCTCTGAACCAGTTGAGCTTGGGATCAGTGAGAGGCAGGAGGCTTTGCTTGCCCTTTCCTAGTAAAGAATATTATAATATATATATATATAATTACAACAATATAAGTAGTGACTATTATATATAGTGGCTAAAGGTTCAAAAGGATCCTGCTGCCTTCAGAGAAGTCTCAGCTGTGACTTTAGAGATGTGCAGGGCTGACCATGGAGGAGGGAACAGGGTGCCACTCTGCCAAAGTGCACATCAGCCGTGAGGCTCCACTGCCTGGGCACCAAGCAGGGCCAGCCTGGGTGGGTGACAGCTGTCCTGCTGGCCACCAGACCTGCTGGATGGACACACAGCTCCGTGGGGCACGGATCGGGGTCTGGAGCGCTGCTGTTCATGTGGCTGCCCCTGGCTAACACAAGAGAGTTTGGTGGGAAACGCTTTGTTGTGCTGGGGCAGGAAAACCTTTCCCATTTCTCCTTTCCCACACAGAGGTGTTTTGTCAGTGTGGATGCCATGTCAGAGGATGATCACTGACAGTCCCTCAGCACACTCCTTCCTTATCTGTGTAGTTATGGAGCTCCTGGCATGACCCCAGCGCTGTTCCACGGTCACAGACACCAATGGCCCCACACATCACTCACCTGCAGTTGAGTTAATCCTGTGAGCCCAGCAGATGTCCCATCATGAGTTTGGTATGCAGTGAGGCTGAACTGACACACACCCTGTTCCAGCACTGCTGGGCTGCCGTGACAAAGCCCATGGGACCAGCTGAGAGTCTGCAGGCACCTTTGGTTCCATCTGCTTGCCAGCCACTCCTGCACCTCCCAGGAGGAAGAGAGCTTGGGCTGCTCCCGTTCAGGCCCTTCCCTGGTGTGGTGCCTGTAACGGGGCTGCTGGGTGAGGCTGAGATCCCGAGTGCCAGGATCCTGTGGAATTGCAGGGGTTTGTCCATTCTKCTGTCACCTCGCTCCTGATGTAGCTCCTCTAGCAAATCTTCTCTTCAAAGTCCCTGTATGTCCCTTCCAGCTCAGCCCCTCTCTGCCTGCGGGGTTGAAGCCCTCCTGGATTCAGCAGAGCCTGAGGCAGTCTTGGCCACCAACCTGTGCAGGCCATTGCTCTGGGTCCTAAGGAAGAGGTTTTCCCTTTTATTTCTGGAGCTGCAAATGGCTGGAAAGCAGGTTTAAATAAACACTGCTGCCCTCYGTGCTGAAAGGAGGAAGGGAGCTACCAAAGCTGATCCAGAGCTGGTTCCTGGTAGGGACTGAGATAAGAACTCCTGCTCTGAGCTCCGAACAGAGGGGTGAGAGCTCTGCCTTGGCAWGGGTGCCGCATCAGCACGGTGCTTGTCTGGCTGCCCTGCCTCTGGCTGGGCCCTTGCTGCCCTGCCTGGAGCACAGGGAGCTGTGGCTCAGGTTCCTGCAGGAGGCTGGGGCTGCTGTTCCCTCGTGAATGTGGCTGGAGTGCCTGGCACGGGCGTGGGACCATCCCTGCGGAGGGTGGGGCGAGCTCTGCAGGACACGGGGGTTACCCACGGGTGGGACACCGCTGTGGGTACACACAGGACTGCTGTGCTCTGGGACCTGCTGCTGCTTCTTCTCCAGCCAGGAAGTGGAGCTGGAAGCACAGATAATTTTATATATCTCCTTTTAATATCACGATAGCATGTGACTCTACACTCAGACGTGTTACCCGGCRCACCGACGTTCTCCTCCGCCTCCGGCACGCTTTGGGGACAGGACTTGTGCCTGGAAACGGGACTGAATTCACCCCAAAGCTGAATCTCTCTCCATATCTACTTTGCATTCTTTAGGAAAGCAGCTGGAGAATGTTTACACACTGCAAACAGAATGTAGGACTCCGACYGAGGAACCGCAGTCTGGTTCAACTGCATGGCGAATTTCTTGGCCATAAAATCTGGCATGCATCACAGAAGCCCTGTCTGTGTACAGACCCACCTGGCGTTTGTCTTAATTTCAGATCACATCTTAAAAAAAAAAAATAAAAATAAACAATTATGCCATTTCTYGTTCATGTCAGACACAGCTGTCATTAGGTTTGTTATTAAAAGGGGATTCTGGATCATGCCATTAAAAGCCTGTCTACCTTTTCATTGGTGTTTTCTCCCGTTTCTTGGTGTTGCAGGACATGTTCCTTCACCCTGAGCCTTCTTCACAACCACGCTGCAGGCAGCAGGCTCAGCCATCCACTCCCAAAACAGCCCTTGGCAGAGAGAAAAGCCTGCTTTTCTAACAACAAAAAAAAAAAAAAAAAAAAAAAAGCTTTTGCAGAGTCTAGTCACATTTGTAGGATGTTGCACCTGCACATTAATATGTGGGAAGTGGAGTAAAAGCCAACCAGGAACTGAGCATGGTTTGACTTTTAATACTTCTGACTGTCTGATATTTAAGCTGAGGACAGTTTTTACACCATTCCTTTTATCTCATGCCTCTGATGTGCAGACCACATCCAGGTATGTACAGTGACACTTTATTACCCAGCTTTGGGATGCAGTGGTGGAAGAGGAAACAGAAAAGAATAAAAAATAAGTGCTCCCTTGGAAAGCTGTTCCTATGATAACAGATTTTATTCTTTCTCCTATAACCAAAAAAAAAAACCATATTTGACTCCAGTGTAGAATCCAATTCCTCAGTAAAATGCAGCCTAACTGGGCTGAATCTCTGCCCTGCTATTTTCCCAACAGCGCTGGTTAGAGGAAAATTACATCAGTGACCAAGTAATTTAATAATCCAACCTTCTCAACAAGCCGTTGGCATCCTGAAAAGGAGGAGAAAGAAAGTTTGCCAAAGAAAATGATGCTCGTGTGAAGTAAAATGTAAATTTTTTTCAGCATTCTGTGTGACAGCAGCAGCAGAGGAGTCTGACTGCTCTCACTGGGCACATTGAGGYTGTTTGAGTCACGTCTAATTAACCAAGTTGTTAATTCAGTCAGGTCAGTCACAGCCTTTGCACACGTGTTGGTCTTTAACTAAAGCCAGTGACTGGTTAAAGAGGCACGTTTGGGTTAAAGGAATAGAGCAATTTCACACTTTTTTCCATTTTAATCAATGCAGTGTGAGCAGAGAACCCCAGGAGCTGCAGGACGATGATGTGTGATCTCATTTCTGAAGCAAAGCCTGGACCTGTTTGCAGTTTAAATGTGCAGCAGCATTTCAGTGCGAGTTTCTCTCCCTTGCTTTTAGAAGATTGGGAGTGAAGAAAAAGATGTGCTGTAGGGGAAGCAGGATTGTGTCTCATCCCCAGGAGTGAGGAGAGTCCTGCAGGAATGGCCTCACAGAACAGAACACAGATTTRCAGGAGGAGGTGGTGTCTTTACTCAGAGCAGCTTTTGTTACSTGTGGAAAAGCCAAAGAGACTTTTGGGCTCAGAGATCTTCGTGCACTCACCTCAAGGTATTTTAAAGTCTAGAAAAACCCTGGAGTGGACAGGGCAAACCTCAGGAGTGCCTCAGTGAGGAAACACTTGTCATTCCCAGCCTTGCACTCATCTGTCCTGGGAAAACACCTTTCCAGGGGGAGAAAAGGACTTCGTGGGGAAATGTTTTCACTTTTCCCATTCTTTGCAGGACATGGGTGAGCAGGTGGCCTTTACCCACAGCCTTTTCACCCCAAAAATCACCTCCCTGTTTGCACCCATCCCGAGACACATCTCCCTTTTCAGGTGTTGTCTTATCGTCCAGTTTTGATTATGACATATTTAAAGGGGATAAAAGGGTTTTACATCAATATTTAATGGGATCCCAGGKRCACAGYYTGACGGAATGGAAGAAAYAACAGAAAATGCAMCCCATGTRTAGCAYGGACACAAGTTTTATGGATTTCACAAACCTAGATCTATCTAGGATTCCTCAATAAGAAACTTAAYAAATGCAGTAATGTCCCTYTATTCTAAAGAATATCARGCTACAAGAATTACCAGCATGCAGGCCAAGGGATACATAAAGGGCACAGAAAATATCAAGGGGTACATAAAAAGGAAAGGTAAAAATCCTCACACATCATAGGCACCCTCCCAGCTTTTCCAGGGCATGACTCRACACAAACCACACCAAAACACTCTCAGCTGGTGCTCAGCAGCTTTGGTGTCCTCAGGTGTCCTGACACAGTGGCCGCTCTGCCATGGTCCAGCAGGTCGGGCTGGTGGCCAGCTCACACCAGGCAGAGTTGCTGCAGCTCCTGGGATCTTCACACTGGAAATGAAAGTGCTCTCACAATGCTCTGCCCACAGCCTGCCCTTCCTGGTGCCCCTCTCCAAAACCACAGCAGGAGGAAAGGACTCCAAAAAGCGCAGGCGCCTCGTGCCGGGTGCGTTGGAAAGGGATGGGTTGTGTTCACAGGGRATAATCCCTTTGGCTGTACCCCAAGTGGGGAGCTTCACTGTGACTTTTGGCACCTTCCAGCAAGGTCTCAAAGTCCAAAGAGGGGGCTGTATGAAAAGCCATGGGGAGCTGAGCTCCAGGAGCAGAGGCTGACATTGGAGCTCTTATTGCTGCTCCTGGTACTCAGCTGCTCTGGATGAGCCAACTCCACKGGAAAGATGAAATTTGAGGATCTCTTGCTGGAAACTGGGGGCTTTGGCCGATTCCAGATTTTRATTTTGGCTATGCTGTGCTTTCCAAGAATCAACCTGCCCATGCATTTCCTGCTGCACAATTTCCTTGCTGCCACCCCCACCCATCGCTGTGCGATCCCACACCGGGAGGAGTTTGTGAACCTCACTGCAGAGGAAATTCTGCTCATCAGCATCCCTCGAGAGCCCGACGGCACCTTCAGCTCCTGCCAGATGTTCTCACAGCCCCAGTTCCACCTGCTGCTCAACTCCTCCCTGCAGCCAGAGAACAGATCCATCATCCAGCACTGCCAGCACGGCTGGGTCTACGACCACTCACAGTTCACCTCCACCATCTCCACACAGGTAATTCCTGGGCTGTGACACCACCAGAAATGAAATCAGCTCTGGGCTTTGAGGAGCAGATGGAGTGGGGTTTGCTGAGTGCACAGAATGAGAGAGGAATCACTGTAACCASTGATTAGAGCCTGTTTAGAGAAGGTGTTCTGGGAGGGGCAAACTCTCTGAAGCTCAGTGTTAGGAGCTAAATTTATTTTTATTATCATTATCATCATCATCATCATTATTATTGTTGCTGTTACTGTCATTATTATTATTATTATTATTATTATTATTATTATTATTATTATTATTATTGTTGTTGTTGTTGTTGTTGTTATTATTATTATTATTATTATTATTATTATTATTATTATTATTATTATTATTATTATTATTCTTGTAAGCATCTCATCCTGCTTAGATTGATGCCAACATTTCTCTCTATAATCACCTGAATTTCCCCAGATGCTTGACAGATTCAGGAGGCAGAGGAAAGTCACAGATACAGGATTTTCTCTGAGGGCCACGTGGCATTTGCACAGGACTGGAAACTGTCAGGGTTTCACATGAGCCCTTAAATTTCCTTTCTTGGTTTCCCAAACACTTTATAATTTCTATTCCCCACCCTTCCTCACTGGTCTCACCTTCCTCCTCCTCTCCCCAAGGCTGTGCTGCCTCTCTTCTCTTATCACCAATGTCTCTTGCTACAAAATCGTGTTCTCTCTGAGGGTCTTCCACAGCTCAGAACCAGCCAAGCCTGCAAAAGGCCCATCAAATATTAACCACCCACCTTCTGAACYGCTTTTCCAGGGCCAGCAGTGATACCTCGGGGTGTTAATGCTTTACTCGCCTTGGAAAAAAAGTCCAAATCCCACAAGGAAGGGAAAACCCGGTCAGGCAAAAGGGGCAGAATTGGRTTGGAAAGATAGCCTGTTCAAGGGGTCAGGGAATTCCTGTTCTTGTGGCAGGAAAGGTGGCTCAAGGTCTGGCTGGCCGTGTCAGAGAGGCTGCGAGTTTGAGTTGATGATTAAATTGAGTTTTGTGGCGTTTGCATGCACAGGAAATTAACTCTTCAGCTCAACTGCAGCATCCTGGGGTGATCAGTGACATTTGCACTTCCAAGAGGGTAAAATTACATTCATTAACTTAATTAGGATGAATGTCCAAACTGACTTCTCAGTAAGAAATCAATAGTTTGGCATTAATAGCAAGAACTTGAACTCACTTCTCTGCCCTCCTTCCTCCTTGCACTGAGAACTTCCAAGGAAACTGGCCAGGACAACAGGAGCTGGTTATCAACAGGACATTCCCAAATGCCCACTGAGGTTGTGACAGCAGAGGATGTGACACCCTGCAAGTGCCCAGCTCGCCAGGGCAGTCTCAGGGGCACAACAGGGAGAAGACTTGCAGCTGGGCAGGTCTTGAAAAGGTCAGGAGAAGAAAAAATGGGAATTTTCTGTGTGTGGTACCCAGAAAAATTTTCTGATGCCCACCCATGTCCTGGGGGACAGCACAGCATCACCAACCAGCCAAAGGAGGGGATTGTCCCACTCTGCTCTGCACTGGGGTGGCCGCAGCTCGAGTGCTGGGGGCAGTTTTGGGTGCCACAATATAAAAAAGACATTGAGCTGTTGGAGAGCATCCAAAGGAGGGCCATGAGGATGGTGAAGGGTCTGGAGGGGAAGCCACGTGAGGAGTGGCTGAGGGCACTTGGTCTGTCCAGCCTGGAAGAGACTGAGGGGAGAACTCATTGGGGTYTTCAACATCCTCAGGAGGGGAAGCAGAGGGGCAGGCACTGAKCTSTGCTSTGTGGTGACAGTGACAGGACCCAGGGAATGGCTCTGAAGTGSTGTCAMGGRAGGTTTAGGGTGGATATCAGAGAAAGGTTCTTCCCCCAGAGGGTGCTGGGCACTGAACAGGCTCTCAGAGCAATGGTCACAACACCAACCCTGACARAGCTCAAGGAGWSTTTGGKCACAGGGTGTGACCCTTGGGGTGTCCTGTGCAGGGCCAGGAGCTGGGCTCGATGGCCCTGATGGGTCCCTTCCAACTCAGCATCTTCCCTGATYCTGTGATTCCATGAAATGTTCACAGAGAAGCTGYCTCAGTGGGAATGGGATAACTGGGACTTTTGTAAAGTCTTTCTGCTTTCCAGGACTTTTCSAGGCACAGTTTAGTGCAGGATTCCRCCCCTCCAGACACAAGCTGCAAGACACAAAATCTGCCCACTGAAATGGAGGAATGTGAGAGGCAGCAGAGGCTGGGCTGGGCACTGAGCATCCTTTTGGCTTTGTGTTCCAGTGGGACCTCGTGTGTGAGCAGCGTGGGCTGAACCAGGCCACAGCCACCTTCTTCTTCATCGGYGTCACCGCGGGGGCCATGGTGTTCGGGTACCTCTCCGACAGGTCTGGCCCCTCCCTGGCTGCTCCTCTGGGGCAGCAGTTCACAAAAATCATCCCTAAAACCCTCGATGGGCAGTCAGAGGGGCGGGGAAAGGAGGAAAAGCGATGGTAAASGGAGAATCCAAACGCTCACTTGGAAATGGGAGTTGGGTCATGGCAGGGAGCAATGCAGGGAGTAAATGTTTCTTGGATCAGAGAAGCAGCTCTGGCTTTGGTTAGGAGTCAGATGATTGCTGGCTGTGGTCTGAACAGCTGCAGGAACAATAAAAACAAAAACAAAAACCACAAAAAAAACCCCATCAATGGGTGGAATGTTACTGTGCATTATGCCCTGGCACACCACTTTTTTCCCCCTGGAGGAATTGTTTTTGCCACCTTCCTTCCCCGGTGGCCACTGGGAGAGCCCCAACGCCAGGATCAGAGCAGGATTTGAGTYCTTGTGGGCTGGATTAGGATTAATCTACAGCTCCAGCTCAAACCTAAGCTTTCCCACCATGCAGCACTAAGACTGACACCTTGTGCTCCGTTTGGATTTTTAGATTTTCTAAGGCTGTGCAGAAATGCGTGCAGACACATTTCTCTATCTGTGAATGTGCCTTTGATTTTTTTTGTGTTTCTCCACACAGGAGAATTGTCCACTCTGGACAATGGGGTAAGGAAATCTCGGGGGAACAACATCCTGGCAAAATCCTCAAAAAACCCTTGGGATTTCAGGGCTATTTGCACACCATTGTGCTCCTTCCAAGGAGAAGGGTGGAAGTGTCACCACTCTGTCCCCTCCTTGACAGTGGTGGCCACAGCCATTGGAGAAGGGCAGTGACACTGGAGGGAGCAGRGTGTGACAGCAGCACATTTCTGCTTTTGGGGGTGGCCAGGAGAGCCTCATTTGTTGTTCTGAGCTGTTCCACGCTGTGCTCGTGGCAGGTTTGGCCGCAAGACSATGCTGCAGCTGTCGCTGGTGTGCTCCGTGCTCTGCGGGATGCTGAGTGCCGTCTCCGTGTCCTACACCATGCTGGCTGTCACAAGGACACTCACTGGGGTGGCCCTGAGTGGCCTCTCCCTGATTGTCCTGCCTTTGGGTGAGTTTGGGGGGCAGAGGGTGGCACGGGACTGGTCCGAGTTTGTAGGAACAGGGGTGTGGAAATCGCTCATTGCAGAATGTCCCTTTTGTAAAGGACCCATAAATTACAATTTGCTTTTATTCTAATTCATATTCTAACAGTCTAYTCAAAATATTGTTAGTACATCTTTYGCAACATGCTGCCCAWTTYCTGTTAAATATCATYAGTGACACAATAAAAACCATATTMCAGATTATGTGCCCCTTTCCTCTGACACAGAATTCCCACTTTTCAAGGACAATTCAGCAGCACTGCCCTGTCATTAGCACAGGAAGGATGGTGTGACATTTAGGGGGTTTTTCTGCTTCCCCAGTTTTGAGTTTGCTCACCGTTTTCCTGAGTTACCAATTTGTATCCTACAATAAGAAGAAAAAAGGAAATCGCACAGAGCTAGGCAAAACTGAAACTGAAGAATTTAGGTAATTATTTATTTTGTAATTACCTAAATTCTTCATCTTCCATTCTTATCATAAATGGAAGATGAAGGATTTAGGTAATTATATAATAAAAACTGAGGCTGAAGAATTTAGGTAATTCTATAATAAAAACARGCTCCAAATTTCAGGGTATCCAATAGACTCCTGGATGATTTTGTAGACATAGCTGGGACATGCTGGAAAAAAAGTGTTGCACCCAAAAAAAATTAACAGAAAATTTCCAGGATTTTTGCGGATCTAGCCAAAATCAAGCAAAAATGKCTTCGATATTGGAAAAGCCCACACCAGACCTGATGAATCCCAAGGCCTGCTGTGTTTATTGTTATAAAAGTTGATTCCTGCAAGATGAAACAGAGCTCAGGAGGGACGTTTTTATTGTTAGAGGCAGCAAGATTTCCAAATCTTTGGAGGAAAATTGGCTTTTAGTTCACACACACAAACAAGGAGGGCCCCATCTGGCTACTGCACATGTCATGTGATGCCAATTCACCTCAATATATTGCTTTAAACTGAAATCATGAGTGGGCAGAGAAATGGGAAACTGTGGGGGCAAGGTCATTATGGGGGAAAAAAAATCTGGTTGATGAAGAAAACCATTTGAATGCTATTGGGGTATGGAGTAAAATGGGGCAAAAATGTCTTCTATCATCTAGAGTATCACCTACAGTGGTTTTAGGTCTTTTTCTTAACACATGTCCAGCATTTCTTCTCTTAAGGTTTTGCTTTGCTTAGAGCTTTGCGAGAGGTTAAGAGTGAATATGGCTGAATATTTGAAACATTCCAGTTATCAGCCAAACAGTGAAAATTTGTGGAGGAGAAGATGAGGGATGTCTTGCTTTGCCCTTGATTAAAATCCCTGCAGAGCCTCCCTCCCTGGAGAAGCCCTGTGTGTCCTGTCTGACCTCTGCCTCCTCCTCCAGGGCTGGAGTGGGTGGATGTCCAGCACCGCACCTTCACTGGGATCCTGTCCAGCATCTTCTGGAGTGTTGGCAACATGCTGCTGGCCCTGGTGGCCTTCCTGGTGCGCCAGTGGCACTGGCTGCTGGTGGCCGTGACGGGGCCCTGTCTCCTGAGCATCGTCTGCGTGTGGTGAGTGCGGCCACCACGCTGGAGTTTGGGATGTGCCTCCTCTGCCCAACCCAGGATTCGCTCAGCAGCCTCAGGATGAGCAGGACTCATCCATGTCCTGWACCAGGAATGCCCCTGGGTGGCAGCTCTGGAAAATCAGAGTGATTTTCCCAGCAAAGCCAGGAGCTGACAGCTCTGGGGACAAGCAGGACGAGGACTGAGAAATTTGGATGGCTCTGTCAGATGTGCCTCAGTCTGAGAAAAAAAAAGAGATCCCAGTAGAGGAAGACACAATCAGATCCAGGCTTTGATCCGTAGTGAACTCAAGATAAATAATTTATCCAATTCTCTGTCCCCACCTCGCTGGGAAGGATACTTTCAGCACCAAATTTGCCATGAAAGCCACTGACACCGCCAGGCTAGGACAGGTTCATTTTTCTCTGCCCTTCCCGTGGCTTTTCTCAGCTGTGTAAGCGCCCTGGTGGGCCAAACACACCTGCTTGCTTGGGCAATTTCCCTCCTGTGGCCTTATTTAAGAACTACCTGACATCTCCAAAGCCTTAAAATGGGAGGTGGTTCCTTTAACCCAAGAAATTTTGATATTTCCTTCTTTTTTTTTTTTTTTTTTTTTTTTTTTTTTTTTTTTTTTTTTTTTTTAGTGTAATGATACAAACTAGAACACAGAGTTGATTCACTGACTATGACTGCAATGTGAATTGCAGATTGATGATCCAAATCAGTCTTTTGAATAAGCAGCTCCGTTTCCTTGCTGGCAAAAAGGTCTTGTGCTGAAATAGGGAATGAGGTATTCCCAAAACTGCCCCACTGAGAACATTCAGAAATAGGGGATTGGTTCTTCTCCACCTCAGGGTGGTTCTTCTCCACCTCAGGGTGGTTGTTTAGGTTCCCCTTGGGTGTCAGACTGGTGCTGGATCCCACTGCAGAAATCCCAGATGTGTCCCTCAGGGAAATGGGCAACTCTGGTTGGAAACCTCGCAGAGTAAATCCTGATTTGTTAGATAGATGTGTCCAAAAACCACGTGCATGACCCCTGAGTGGAAGGGGTGATATCGAAATGCTGAAGTGCCTTTCAGCTGCTGTCAAAGAGCCTTCTGGGGACYTTGGTTTGCTTGCCCAATGTGTCTGTCCATCAGCATGGAGCAGTGCATTAAATACCTGCACAGATCTAGCAGGAAAACCTCAAATAATGCTCMCAAAAATGGGATTTAAAGTGCTGTTGTTATTATCAATGGCTAAAAAGAGATGTACAATTTCAGGATTTCCTGGCAGAGTAACATTGACTATGATCAAGCCCAACACAACTAAAATACAAGTTCTGCCAACTTTTTTTAGTTCAGGTTGTTTTCCTCTCTTTCTAGGACAGCCAGCCATTAAAAAAAAAAACCTGAGTCTTTGGAAGTGCTGAAATTCACAGATGCATTTGGACCCACCCTTTGTATCATAACTGTTTGATTTTTCTTCTCATTTTAATATCTTTAATGGAGATTAGCTCTCCAACAAATTATACTCTAGTCCTCGAGCACCCAAAAGGTCAGTGATTGCAGAAAATTGGAAGTCTCTGAAGTATGGAATTAAAATCTAATTTAGCACTCTGTAGATATTATTGATACAATGTCAGAACTCAGAAGAGACATCAGACAACTAAAAGACATAATATTACTCTCTAGAGAYGGTGGCAATGAGTGCAAAATGCCATCTTTCCTTCTTTTGTGTTTCCCAAGGTTGTAAGCCTGTGGGAAGGAGATGAAAACTTTCAAAAAAAAACCCCAAATTCTCCAAACATTTTTGCTCTGCACATCATTTTCAATTCCTGCTCATTAGTTTTATTGCAATCTGATTTAGGGCACGTGAATCACAAACTGTGGATTCGAGGGATCTGGTCTCAGACCATTCTAGTGGTGTGCAAAAGGCTCTAGATTGTTGTGAAAAACAAATAATTTTAGCAACAAAGCATGTGTAGAGCTCACTAAATCCTTTCTACATTGTAGCTTTTAATATCCTACAATTACAAACTTTAAAGAGTCCCAGAAAGAAYAAATGTGTAAATACAAAACGCCCTGGGGTGAGTTTTAATTAACAAGAGTTTGAAACATCAACCAGCTCAGAAAGTTCAAGCTCTGATCAAAAMTCACATGAAAAAAACTGGGCTAAA